TTTATGAAATACTAGCCGTTAATTACTAAAAATTATAAATTATGTGAGAATAAATAATTGTAGTAATTCAAGCGAGTGATTTGCAATGTAGCATGTAAGGTAGAATTCAGGTTGAAAAAATAAGGGAGAGACGAGGGTTAATCCGTGTCACCTAAAAATCAAGAACCTCTTCAGGCAACCACCCTTCGCCCTCGGCGAGGGGTAGAACCAGCGCCCGAGGCGTCGACATCGACCACTGACCCACATACCCTAACCACCCCCCGAAAACATCAACACCCACCCTTGCGCCAGATCTCTCCGTCTCCACTTCGATTCACAATTTCAATATCCTTTCATCGACGCGTGTTCGTAAACTGGAAAAATCACCCTTCACCATCCATCATTCACACCTGCGTCGCTTTTTCCCGTTTCCCTCTCAATTCTCGATTTCGCTTTCATTTAACCCCTGCATATCTACAAACGAAGCGTCCCAATCGGCGCACCCCTTTCACCTGCATCGCCCGTCCACCCCCTGCATCACTTTCCACCACCACCACCACCCCGATCCACGATATCCAATATCACTTTGCATATTTCGAAAAATCCCCACCACCCGCACGAAATCGCACACCCCTTTCGTCCCCCGTTGATGCATAGCAACGCGCATATTCCCGAAATGCATCGTTTCGCATTCGTCGAACCCCATGCCGCGCATTAACCCCTTACTCCGCGTATTCCGCGCGCGTTTCCGTCGGAGTACCAGGTGGTCCGCGTCCCATGGGGAAATTCAAAGGACATCTCACCTTGACGACAAACCATTCGCCGTCACCGCCTCGTCGCGCTATCGATCACACGGTCCACCCACGGTGAATCCGGAGAACCGAGAAGCCGACGTATTCAATTGTCCGTTGAAACTCTTCTCCGACGCCTTTTCCCTTGCAGTAGGTCGCGGTCGTCACGTGATCCGCGACTGGGTGCACACTGGGACGCGACGAGGGTTCAAATCGTGGTTCACGCGGTAGACGGGGCCGCGAGCCGGCTCGAGAACAATCGGATCACGGTGGTAGCGTTGCGGACGGTTGCGAATCGGGTAAAAGTCTGCGACGCTGTTGGAATTCCGGTGCGCACCGATAGCAGCAGCGGGGCCTGGTAACGCGTGTCGAAGGAAGGAAAGGAGGACATGCACGCAAGCGCAACCGGCCGTCGTCCTAACCTCCACTCGATAAAACTCGTCCTCGGCACTCGGTATTTCGGTTACGTCAGCGTTTACGTGTTGCGTCAACGGGACGCGTGCGCTCACGTGGTGGCTCGTCCGTCGCCTCGATGCCGGTGCATGCAGACGTTGCGTTTCGTTGCGGATCGTATACGGGAATCCTCTCAGGGGACGTGGACACTGTCATGGGGTGGATCATGGTGGTGTCTGGAATTTAAAATGTCTTTGGATGGAATGGGTGACCATAGGGGTTGAAACGATTGTCATTCGTGGAGGCAAACGGGATAATGATAATCGATCATTGAACTGACGTTTAATCTTGCAACAAGTGAAAAATTATTCTTTGGTAGGAGAAGAATCGTTTAAACTAGATGCTGTATTGTTTAAGTTAGAGGATGTCGAAATGACATGGTGACGATTTTATGCGTCGGAATCTGTCACCACAATCTTTATTCCGCAATTCGATACTCATACGTGAAGAAGTTAATTGCTGTACTGAGTTCTGATAAAATGTTTGCACAGTGATTATCAGAAATGAAAAAATTGCTCCATACTCGTGATAATATAAGTGTATTATTTTTTAGGGATGTGTGACAGACAGCAAGGAATCTGTGATCACTGCAAGAATCTCTTATCTAGTTTCAAGTGTTTCGTAAAAGGAAATTGTTTAAAATTTTATATAGATACGTAATAATTATTTTTAATTGTAATTAATGTTTTGAGAATATGGAAGTTAGATCGATAAATGCGATAGGTTTTGTGACGACATGTTTAATAGTACTAAAATTCGCTAGTTAAAGCGATTTCACGCTGACATGAGCCTAGGCCTAGGCGTTAAGCACATGTTGCGCAATTATTTATTACGACTGCAACGCTGACAGAACGTTCCATTATGCTACAGACATACGGTCTATTAATCGTCCGTTTGACGTCGAAGTTACTGATAGTTAGCATAAACGCGTCAGCGTTGATTTAAGGAATGGTTAAAACGGAGAATAATATAAATGTGTGAGAAATGTAAATAGCAATTCGTAAAACGGAAGCAATGTAAATTGTTCGGTATAATTATATGCTTTCATACGATAATATTTTATATTTCATCAGTTTTCTGTTGTATGGCAATGGGAATATAGCATGGGAAACGTCAGGTGAAAGGGAAAAAGCCTAAATATGCTGCGCGGGCAATTCACCCTCGGTTCCCCTTTGAAAGATAGTTCACTGTATGTCGGTCGAACCTGCGCAGAATGTTTCGCGTTTTATGAATGGAAGCTGGAGTTAACGATCGCTTGTAAGAATGCTGACTTCGTACAACCCCACAATTTACTATCGTTTACAATAAGATGTCAAAGATCATATCCTTGAAAATACATAATATTAGAGTAATACTACGTTCATGATACGCTGGATTAGTATATGCAGATGTCCGTGTGATTGGTTGAAACATTATGAAATTGTGCGTGAAATTACTTAAGGAATTTCAAGACAAAAACTTGCCCTGTTGAAAAATCACTGAAATTCGTATGTGAGAATGGACTAATACCAGCTGATACAATTAATGAGAAACGAGTGACGAAAATTGGACGAACCATGGAGATCCTTGCCACGATGCTCTGTGACTGAAATGTCACGCAAACTGTATTGAATCTACGATCGGGATACGGATTGCGTGACTTTTCGACCACTCAGCGTACGAAACGCGCCCCGAAGTCTGAGAGGACGCGTATTCAGGCGTTGAGCAGAGTTTCTGCGACCGAAGACGGGAGGAATAGTGTCTGCACGAAAGAGGAAATGCATCCCACGTGCCCAAGATTGCTTCTGCCGATTGCACTCAAGTTTTATGCAGATTGACTGTTAATAAACTTGGACAGTGCGGAATTTGAGGGAGAGAAGAGTTAGCTTTGTGAAATATTCTCTTAACTTATACTATGAACAAAAATTGATTAAAATTACTTGGAAATTATCCTAACGATATTTTGCATCATCGAAGTGTAACATCATGTAAAATCGCGTATTGCGGTTTGCAATATTCTTGATCGCGTCAATTCAAGTATGAAACAATGATGTTATTTCCGAAATGATTAATGTAACTGGTTATTCGAAAAACCACCCCTCATGCGACCAGAGCCCTCGCGTCTCTTCACGAGATTTCGCGCAACCCCTTCGAGTCTCCCGTTACTGCCGATAAAATCGCAACCCCTCGCATCGGAATTACCAACCACTAACCGCCGGAAGCCTCGAAGCCAGCGGAAGCGCAGACAGGGTGAGAGCATTGTGCTCGAAGCGGTGGTGAGGCTCACACGCGGATCAGAGCGCGTGCGTGTTGGGCCGAAAGGAAAGCTTCCTCGTGAAGTTCGAAAGCTCGTCACAGGATGGCGACGCTTCTTGAGGAAACCGTGCGGACGTTCGATCCTTACGAGGGCGAAGAGGAAATCGGCCAATCGGGGTGGCTGCAATTTCTACGATTCGACGCGTGCCGACCGCCATTTTTGGCCAGCCTGAATCGCTCGATCCGTTACGCCGCGTCGACCGATGATTAATGACCTGCACTTTGGCTCCTCGTAGCCAGAACATGCAGGAGTCGATGAGGGTCGGTTAACCCCTTTCAGTAACACGACTAAATCTAAGCTGAATCTTCCACGCTGTTTTCTGAAATTCTGATGTCTTCATAGTACCTATTGAGTTTATTATCGGAAGTATTCTACAGAATCATTGAACGCTTTATCAAAAATTATCCATAGACATAAGAGGATAGATCGATTGTCTAATATATTTTTGAACAGCAAACATTCTTTATATTCGGTGTCGATACAATTTTTTTATAAATGCATAAAATCTGCCATGAACATGTCAAATGTTAAACCAATGATTTTTTATTTGGCTTTATCTTAATAAATGATCGAGAATGATGAATGCAATGCCTTCATTGAATCGGACGCTCGCAGATACATCGTATATCTTTCTCCGTTCTTATATCTTCATATAAGTGCTTGGAACTTGAAAGAGCTATTCACTTCGCGATTTGCCTTCCACCAACTGTACGTTGTACACCTTTCATTAAGTAATGGAATGGGCC